AAGTGGATAAGGAAATGGCTGCACTGGCACGTCCTTCGGCCTGAGCATCCAACTTCAACTCAACCCGCTCTAGTCGTTTAGTATTCTCTCGTCAGCAGAGGAAGAATCTGTCCAATTGGATGAGCTGTACGACGACAAAAAACCCAGGGATGTTGATACTGAGTCGGACGGATACATTTCTCGTATATTCTCCGCAATTTGCTGAACTTGCTTCTTCACAGCAGCATCAACACGTCTGCTTAATGTCCTCTTCGATATTTTCATCGACATTTACAAGAAAAAGAACCAGAAAAGGAACAGAAAGGGTTATAAAACGCGTCAAGTAGTAAACACGGTCGGAGCAGCAAGAGTGCGCGTGCAGAGGCGTGGGAGAGCATAAAGTGGCGTGTCCCAGCCGTCGCGCCAACGCATACGACACGGCCGATCGATTTGCCAATAAGCATGCACGCATTCTTTTGCGCCCTTGGCGACGCGACGGCCGGGGGTCCTAGGAACCAATCAAATTTCAGATACGATTGAGTGCCGAGGCTCTAATTAAGAATCGGCTTTCCTTGCTATAAGGGATGCTGCGGTTACTTGTTCTTATACCCATATCTAATTTTATTAGTCTGTTCGCCTTAGTCATGCCCATCCCGGCTTACCTTGCCTGCTCTTGTCCACTTTGCAGCGCTTTTAACGGGCTAATTGTCGTCGCTATTGCAACCGATGCAACTCCCTAGTAGCAAACTATATCGAGCATATATCTATTAGATATCTATTTATCGATATATATATATATATATATATATATATATATATATATATCGATTAGATATCTATTTTGACGCAACCATAGATATCCATTAGATATCGATTAATCGAGATACAACGCTATCGGCGAAAACGGGGGGTAATATGCTACGCGTGGAATCGTTTGCTTATCCCAATTCCCTTTTCCGCCCCCTTCCATTCCTTGTTGTATGTATATTACCCCCCTTTTACCCATAGGTACAGTACCTGTGCTAACTCATGAAATGTCACGAATTAACACAGGTTAACGCCTTTAACGCAAAATCGGTAAACACTACGGCTCCCAAAGTCTGATAGCGGAAAATAAACGATGTGCCAAAGAAATAAAGCAAAGT